AGGAGAGTACTAAAAAGTACCTGTGTGAACCACCTGAAGGTCAAATGTTGTCCTTTCTGCCCTTTGTGTAGCTCCAGACCTATTGCCCCCTAATGATGAATGTCAGTTACCATTGCTAGGATGGTGATTCCTTTCTTTGCCTAGTGGTGTCTTGACATGAGGAGTCCAAAGTGACTGGGTGGCACCAAAGCTTAAGGTGGACATCACATTCCCTGTTGGAAGAAGAATCCTGCTTAGGTACCTGGATCTCTACATGCATAGATCCTAAATTTCTGGGGAAAGAGAGCACAGGGTCTTAAGTTGGTTGCTGGAAGTAACGGTAAAAGACAAAAAAACAAAAAAAACAACTTATCTTACTTTTAGTTTTTGGTGTCTAGACCAATGTATTTTGTTTATGGAGGAATAGTTCACCTAATATTGTTGGTTTAAGATATACAGCACATCTTGGGAGATACACATTCTTGCAGAGTTGAATTTACTACGATGGCATCTTACTAGGCATTTAAAAGGCAATTTCGTCTCTCTGTTATGCTGGTAACGTATTGGGCACTAAATGATAAGCTCAGTGGATACCATAGCTGTTTTGTCACTGCCACATGTCCTTTGCTGTAAAGTGGAATCTTGGGCCCGAGACAGTTTAATGTGAGATTTTGTATTGGTGGATCATACCCTCTAAATTCCTCAGATAGTGGTTCTGACTGAGACCTTAAGGACAGGAAAGGAAAATCCATTCCAGGAATATATGCAGATATTAAACAATGTTAATTTCTTCCCGCATGGGAAGGCTTCAGTGTATTCAGTTTGTCAGCAAGTTGGTAGGTTGTCATTTTAGGTTGTATTGGAAGTTCAACATGAGTCTCTGTTGCTGACAAATTGGACTTTCAGCAATTGCAGAAAGTTGGATCAGCCTTTATGAATGAAACCCATGTTGTTGTACTGATCTTTCACCTCCATCCCTGCCATCACTGCTGCTCTGGTCTTGGACGCACTGTGTCAGGAATAGAGTGGCTATTGACAGAGTCTGAATGACATTACTTGGCTAATTCTGTCTACTTCGTTCTTCTATGGGCTCCCATAGTAGATGTTTCTCTGTGGGCATTAACACATCATTTAAAGATCATCACATCTCTGTCCCCTCATGTAGGTCATTCAACATGTCACTATTTCAGACTCCAATTCCTTAAGTATTCTTTATTTCAGGCCCCAAATCAAACAGCCAAACATGTTCCACTGTATAAGAGTCTGTGTATATTCTTATCTTGAGTCATTTCTTTTTTCATACAAAGTAGATGACAAGGTGCTCTGCCCAAGGCTCTGCATATTGCAAAAATATCTCCATCCTGCTGTCTTCAGGGGCTGTGTGCAACAGTAGTTTCTACTTTGCTTGCACTAAGATACTGAGGCAATCCACCTGTGAACTGAACTTGACCTTTCCTTTCTGTCAGTTGGTCATAAGGAAACCCTCATGAGTGCAGTGTTGAATAACATCGGGACATGGTCTATCTATTCATGCAACTTACTTGTGCTATTTGGCCTGCTCAGTGTACACAAATCCATTTACTATAGAATGCCAGTGGATGTACTTGACATTATGGTTTGGTGGGACTGAAAGAATTCAACTTGCGATGCTCAGTTCTGGCTATACCGTCACTTGATATTCCATGTCTTCCCCCTGGACTCAGTTTCCATGGGGGCTCAGAAATACTCTGGGAGCCACTTTTTTGAATGATGCTTCATAATCGCCTGCAGATGGGTTGGTCTTGCTCTATAACCCAAATGGTGTATGTTGTATTTCTTGCATATGTGACATGAGCTCTATTCAGAATCTTAAGAAGCCTAGCATATATAGTGTAAGGCAGGAGGTGAGAGGTGCTGAATATAATTATTTAATTCATCAGAACACACTTAATTTTTATAAAGACCAGACTAGTGGAAGAAATAGTAATGTGGAGAGAATAATCACTCCTGCACATTCCAAATTTGTAAGGCTAATCCTTGCATTACTCCAAGGTTGTACTTTTTATGATTAACCAGCTTGGTCAGAGAGATTTTTGCATATACTTGAAGAATTTTAAGAAGATGTTTGTGTTTTGAATACAGAAATTAAAGTAAGAACCATAGATAACAGAGGAAAATGAGTAAATGCCAGGAAAACTTCATTTGCCATGTTAAAGAATTTGGCCATTATTCAACAGCAATTAGAACTCATTTAACTGTTTTTAGCAACAAATGCAAAATACGTGTTTTTTGGTTGATGATTTCAGTTATTTTTTTTAATGAAAATAATCTTATGTTCTATAATAATTAAAAATAAAGAAAATGTGGCTCAAAAATTCTGAAACAAATTTAGGGAAGATTCTTAACATAATAATTGATTAGAAAAGAAAACTTCCTTTAAAAACACATCATGTTATTTAAAATCTATACTGCTTTTATTTTTGGTTTCACATCTTTTACTTTTATCTTCTTACCTTTCTTAGCTCTTTGTCTTTGTCCAACCAATTACAAATGGCAAAAGGCTTGCCTATCCCTCAAAAGTTGAAGTTATACCTGGTTTATCTTAAATGAAAATGATAGATGATTCTTCAATTTAAGAGGATCTGAAACTCCTTGACTGTTAAAACCATGATATCTCACACTGAAAACTATTTCATGAATACAAATGGAAAACACACACACACACACACACACACACACACACACACTTGAGGATTTAGTATGAATACATTTTACAGATCTAATATAATCTTGAAGATTCAATACAAATAAATTTTGCAGATAGATATATTTTTATTAAAATTGATGAATTGTGTTGTGTCTGTTCCCCAGGTTTAGAAGGATATTTTCAAGGTCTCATTTTAATATTTAAAATAGATAACTTAGTAAAATACTGTGTCTTGTATTAGTGTGGATAGATAAGTCTATTTTTGAAATTTGTATTTGCTAAATTATTATCTGTCACCCACTCTTTTTCGTCCATAGTACCCAAATAATCTTTTAGTATGTAATATTAAACTATTTTAATAGCATTACTCTGACTGTGATAATTCCTTAATGCATATTATATTTATTTAACTGAATTTGTAAAGCCTTTACATATCATATTAAAGATATGTAGTGCTTTATTTTATATGCGTGGTAAATATTTCTATGACAGTTTATTTTCCTACACTTCTACTACATGGATATATTGAAATAGTAAATGATATAATTTTAGTTCTTATTTTCAAAACTGTGTTTAAAAACATTGATCTCTGACAGTTTTCTTCTAAATAATGAAGCTTGATAATTATGAGATTGTTTACATATTATCTTTTCCAGCACTAAATCAAGGCTATTATTCCATAACCCATGTAAGAGAAGACAATGTTATTTAAAAAAAAAAGAAAGAAAAACGAGTTATACTGAGCTAAGAATAAAATATACAAGGATGCAATGACCTAGCTATTCTAAAATATTAGGCTTATATAATTTTAATAAAAATAAAATACTTTAATGAAAAATGGGTTATGAATGTCACAGTTGTACAGGATTACTCTTATTGGTTAATAAGATAGCTACAAATATCTGATATATCAAGGTCATACTCTATATTCTAATTACTCAGTTCAAGTAAATAAATGGGTTTTAAGACTCATAACATTAGTAACTGTTGATTTTATAATCTTTATGATTTATGACCTTAAAACTACATTTCATAATGACCTTACTTATAAAAAAAATTCACTGTCAACTCTTTATTTCAGATTTAAGATTACCAGTGCTTTTCATATATTCTATTAATAACTGAAACTAAGGAACTAATGTTGAGGTTGATAAGTACATAAAATCAACAGGCCTTATAATGGTTCTTGAAAATTCCAAGTGAGACCTCTGACTTTCTATAACATAGTTTTGAGAAATAAAAGAAGATGAAGACAAAGAAAAACCAATGCTGTGACTAAAAACACATTCATGAATGTACTTTTGATTTTAAGGAATTGGCAATTTATTGAAGTAATTAATGAATATTAAGTTTCAATACATAGAGTTGGGAAAAGCCTCTAAATACTTTCTGAGTATTCAGTATTTCCTTTTTTCTGGTTATATGCATTTTATTTTATACAGTTTTAAAGGTTACTTTCCACTTAACAGTTATTACAAATATTGGCTATATTCCCCATGTTGTACAATACATTCTTGAACCTATCTTATGTGCAAGTTTGTACCTCCCACTCCCCTACCCTTATGTTACACCACCCCACTGGTAACCACTACTTTGTTCTCTACATCTGTGAGTCTGCTTCTTTTTTGTTACATTTACCAGTTTTTGTAGTTTTTAGATTTCACATATAAGCGATATTATACAGTATTTATCTTTCCCTGACTTATTTCACATAGCATAAAGCCTTCCAAGTCCATCCATGTCGCTGCAAATGGCAAAAATTTCATCCTTTTTATGGCTGAATAGTATTTCATTGTACATATATAACACATCTCCTTTATCCACTTATTTCTTGATGGACACAGGTTGCTTCCATATCTTGACAGTTGTAAATAATGCTTCTGTGAACACTGGAGTGCATGCTTCTTTTCTAATTAGTGTTTTGTGTGTGTGTGTGTTTTTTTTAATATATACCCAGGCGTGGAATTGCTGGGTCATATGGTAGTTCCAGTTTTAGTTTTTGTGAGAATCCTCCATACTGTTTTCCACAGCAGCTGCATCAATTTATATTCCCACCAACAGTGTGAAAGGGTTCCCTTTTCTCCACAGGTATTGCCATTTCTTTATAACTTTACAAGTCTTCTTTTGAAAACTATCCAAGTTGTAATTCAAGGACTATAGGCTAACCAAATGAAAAAAAAAAAGTGCTGCAGAATCACTTTCTTATTTACTACATTGTGTGAATCACAATGGGAAGATTTTTTTTAAGAGTGATCTAAATAATGGGGTTCTCTGATATATTTATCTCAGGACCAGTTAAGGGATTTAAAATCAGTGAAAAGATAAGATTATTTAGATGTTCTGAATGCCTTATTTTAAAATAAGATGGCCTGTTTTGCTGGAACATTTTGTTAAGGTGTCTAATAGAAGTTTCTGTTGGCTTTTAACAATTTTCCTGCACTATGGCAAGAATGAAAACTATTTTTTTAATTAAAAGAAAACATTGATGAAAATAATAAAAAGTGTAATAATAATTTTAACATGGATCAAGTGTTATTTAATTGCTTAGACATGTTCTAGGTACTCTTTAATAAGATTTTGTAAGTATTAAATTAAGCTTCAGAAAATGGTAGCAAAAACCCAATGATTGTGTTATGTACATATGGCAAATACTTCCAGCGTTTGCTGTAAACTGTACCCTACAAGTGTGTGCATATATGTGTATATGTAAACAAACATAAATATATCGATACACATACATATGTATACACACACACACTTTTTTTTTGAGAATTTACAAATTCTGTCCTAGACCTATTTCTTCCAACCAGTTATTTAGGGGTCAGAAAGACACATCTAATTTTAATACCTTAAACTGTTGTATAATTTTAAGCCTATGAATCAAACTCCTATAATAAAATTACTAAAAAAAAACCCCAATAAGTTTATAACACTATGTCTTTCCCTCATTTTATTATTAATTTTCTGAATCTACAGACTGTTTTTTACTTCATTATTTTTTCCTACTCTAAATCCCTTTACTTGTTTCTTAGGAAGTATATAACAGCTTTGTGGAGTTCATATAGAAATAAAGATTCTAGGGCTTTTGAACAAACTTAAAGTGGAAATGGTGAACTTTCAAATCAAGTCTTTTTAGCCCATATTTATCTTACTGAAGAAAAAAGCTTATTATTCCTATCAGCGCAATGCCACCAAAACAACAACAACAACAACAACAAATAACTACACCGTCATCCTGCAAAGAGTTAATGATATGTGTTAATAACTCTTTCAATAACTACTATTTAACTCACCATGACATATCTTGAGCAACTATGAGTCTGTTTAGGAACCGGAAGAATTTTAAGATACACTTTAAATGACTGAAAACGTTTTTTCTGTTTGTTTGTTTTTTCTTATAAGAATTATGTTTGTAGAGTAGTGGCTGATTAAACAAAACTTGTCATTGGCTTAGGTCTAGTACTGTACATTATAGAGTGTAGGCTAAATACCTTAGAGAGAAAGAAATATCTAATAATCTTTCTTTAAAGAATTGGTGTTAATTCTCCCATTTCTTAACCCACCAAAACTCATCAGTCAAATAATGATACCAATATTTGTGGTTTACTAACTATGCTAAATATTTTTTATTTATTATTTAACTTAACATTTATAATTGGATGATATAGGTAATTTTTATTATTACTGTCCATTTTAATAATTGGAAATGAAGGAAAAGGGTAATAAATAATTTTCTTCCAGTCATACAATAGACAAGATAGGAATTTAATCCAAATAAAGCTGAATACAAAACTTGAGCCGTTGTTCAAATTTGTATCACCTCCACGTCTGTATTGCTGTCCTGGGCTATCCCACTCTGAAGTGATCGTATTCTTTTAGGAAAATTGTAATTAAAGTTTCCATACATTTACTTGACAGTTAATACTTATGGTCTCATGTTGGCAGATGCCTTCAATGCATCTCATTAAATTAAAATAAATCACAAATTTCTCAAGGGTCTAAATTTCTCTTTACTAAAACAAAAGGGATAGAAAGTGCTTTTTTTGTTTGTTTTTGAGTCTAAAAAGGTTTGTTGATAGCATTTAAGAGGCTTATTATAGAATTCTCAAAAATTAAATTACTGTACAAGCTACATAATATAGAGAGATAAAACCTCATAGTAGCTGGTTGTCACTGACAACCTGTTGAGACAGAAAGCCTAACAGGTAGTCTCAAAAGCCCTGAATAGCACACAGTATCAAGCTATAGAAATACATTTCAGTGACATCCTGCAGTTTATGTATGATTTGTTTTGGATAGATGAAATCCTATTTAACAACATCACAGCTCAGGTTATTACTTGTTAGAATCATGGCATTTTATAAGTTAACTTCCTAGTAGACCATGATTTTGGGTGGTATTAAAGACTTTGTCCGATTTCAAGATTTACTGAAGTGATGAATCTGTAATTAGATTTTTCTAACCCCTGCTGTTACTAGCTGTTGACATAACAGTACCTCCTTTATGTTCAGCATATAAAATTTAATTATTTCTTTAATACTTCAATTCTTCTTTAAATTTTTCATCTCTGGAAGTAACCAGAAATTCCATTTCATAAGGAATTCCTTTAAAATAAGCAGTTACTCTGTTGAGTCTTAGAGACTCTTTAAATGTTGTTTACTTGGTTACTTTCTATATACTTGAGAAATTACTGAATAAATAATTCACTAACAGATGTTGAAAATTAGAGGTGTATAAAGAAGAAAGATGATTAACTCTAAAGACAAGGGAGAAAAGTGAAAGGAAAAAGAATCCCACCACATCCTTAGATTAAAAAACAAAAGGAACTTATGTGTGCTTTGCAATTTACTTGGTAAGTGTTGGCAGGATAAATTTGTATCATCTACCTTATGTAGCTGATTAGAAACAATATCTGTTACAATCACATTCTCATTATTTGTGTCCAGCAAAATTCTCTCTCTAAGCTTTCCTATATAGAGCTCTTATGATGTCAACCTTTAATTTTGTTTTTTGGTCAGTTGTGATGGTTTACGCAGTCCCACAGAACTGTAGTTATTCTTACCCTCTCAGGAGTGATCACCCAGGATAGGAAGGAGTTTATGATCAGTCAGTCCTTTTTGGGAGGATATAGTTCATGACCAAACAAGTGGTTAGGTCAGGTCATGGCGGTAGCCTTCCTATCTGCTTCAGGAACACTGCAGCTTTTATTTCAGGCAATTACTTACTCATTTATTCATTACTTCATTCAAAATTTATCCAATGTGTACTGGAGACAGTACAGAATGATATAAAGTGCTTATTCTTTAGAATTCAAGCTTGACTAAAATCCTCTCTACTTCTAACCCACTGATTTTATAAAAGCCACATAAATGCTCTTACCTGCTCTTACCTAAGTTTCTTATTCTGTAGAAATGAGAATAAAATGATCTAGACCAACCTCATATGAGAGAAACTACATGAATAAATGTGAAATATTTACACTGATGCATACCAATGATATGGTCACTTCTAAAATGTTGGAGCAGCAAATTGTTGCTTTACGGGTTTTTTTTTTCATGCCAAAAAATTATTGACTTAGTTGTTGACTGCTTCTTGATTTTCTCTTAGAGAATCATATCTTCCTCTTTCTCAGGCCACATACTTTGGGTGAGGTCTCAACTCCAGTGTAGAACATACGTCCCTAAGGCTGGCCAATCAGCACTCCAGATTCCCATTTGTTGTGATGACTAATTCCAGAATGGACACGTGACCCATTGTTCTCTAAACAATGCATTCCAGGTCTTGTGAGGAAATTTTCAGGAGCAGCAGCTGGCTTATTGATCCATGAGGAGGACCCTTATCCAAATCTGCCCTGTCTGTAACTGGAGTGGAGGTGGAGTGGAGAGGCCCAAAGAAGGAAAATTACTAGGCCCTCATGTCCCTGTCATTTCCACATTTTTATGAAATGGCTTCAGTGGAAGATATTTTAATCTTTTTCTTTAAAACATTTTCAATCAATTTTTTTATTAACCATTGTTATCAAAGGAATCCTAAATGATACAGAAAAAAACCTGTAGTTCTGGAATATTTAGATTCCTCCACAGTTTTTTACACCTTAAGATTTTTAGAGCAGTTCTAGGTTCATAGCATAATTGAGAGGAAGGTACAGAGATTTCCCACATATTTTTTAAACAGTAAGATGTTTATACATTGTTTTATATATATATATATAATATATATATAATTACTATATCTTAATAAATATTTTTACATTGCTCAATTCTCACTGTGCACACCATATTTACATACTAGATATGAGATACTATCCTAGATGATGGAATCAAATGGGATTTCCTTACCTTTGTAAGTTTATATTTGTAATTTTTGCCATATACTCATACATACTTATCACATTTTTTAGTAATTCCTTCAACAATATTTTTGAAATTTGATACATTCCTCCACCAATCTACCAAATACCTCTTTCCCATCAATAATTTTCAGTAATCGAGAAAAGTTACTTGTCATTGTAGGGTTTTATATTTAGAACTCTAAACTTTACAACTGTCCTGTTCAGTATATACACTGTTGATTTTCTCCTATGGAAAGCAGAGAGAACTCAGCCCTTTGTCCTACTGATGAATTATCAGTGGTCAAAGCCAATAAAAAACGGGGGACTTTATCTCGATTTACCTAGCTCACTTAAAAAAGAGAGAGAAGAAAAACGTCACTTGTATCCGTCACAATCAAACAAGCATGTTTCCCTTCTTAGTAGTTCTCTTGAATAGCTTCTATCATGTCCCTGATTATAGGTGACAGCCTGGCAACAGTAGGACATTTCTATGGAAACTTTATCTTTATTTCTGAATACTGAAATTAAGCTACCTTGCTGTTGACTTCCTGAGCCATATGTATGCAACAATAACACTATTTTTTGCCACATTCATAGGACATAATTTTTTATAGAGCTATGTATTGTGCTGTTTTGCTTGCTGTTAATATTATTTTCAAATTATTTGGGTGTTGGTGAATAAGATATAAACTGTGCTCACACTTTCACTGAACTTTTCTCCCAGTCCTGAGATGTTAATGTGCTTCTACGTTTTATTTCAAAAATTATTGTTCCTGTGTAAGATTACAGTTTGAGTAGAATTGCTTCAACTGTAAGATTCATGACATGTTGCATTGTGTTATATTTAATAAAATAGTTTTTATGAGTTATTAAAATACAAATATATTAAAATGATAGCTATTTGTTTGAAATTTCTATTTGTAATCCCTTCAGATTATTCTGTTATAAAATATAACTTTTTAGAGGATTTTATAGGTTTTTAACTTGTCTCTGTTTGTTAATGTTGTCAGGCTTTATTCTTCCTGGCACCAGATTTTGGGGCTTGTCACCACATCTGCCAATATAAAACAGGACCTAAATAATTGTTACCTGCCCAAGGTCATACAACTTGTGTAACTGGAATTCTTAACAGGAAATGACTTGTGAGCTCTAATCTTAATGGAACTGCCTACTTTGTAGACTATTCTGCCTTTCAAGCCGTTCAGTGGATTAGCCTGCCTGGCCATTGAAAATGGCTATTCCCACTAGATTTCTGGTCACTCGTAGGCACTAAAATATCCACTTAGTAACTATAAAATCTAGTCATATGCAATATTCAAAATTTAGAACTTGATTTAAAATTGAGACCTAACTCTTAGCTGGGGCATGGACCTGTTGCAAACTGATTCTGCTTTCATCTTCCACTCAGTGTTTCAACTTCTCTCCCAGCATGTAGATTCGGAGTTCTTATGTTTTCACAGTTGGAGCAAGAAGAGAAGGCTGATGTGTAACAATGTTCTTTCTTGCCTGGTTATTTCTAGAGCTGGTGTCTCACTATCTGAATTAAGCAAAAGTTTAACCTTACTCCTTCATTCAGGATTCACTGTCATAGAGATTTAAGGAACCTCCTCTTCCTCCTCCCCTCATTAGCTAGTTCTCATCTGCTGAACTCTAGAGGTGAATGTCACAGTATCTTTTGATTGTTCTTACTCAGTCCTGAGAAATATGCCTCTTGCACATGGCAGATGCATAACTTCTACCCAGTCCACCAAGAACATTTATGCACTCATTTTCCCACAAGGAACTAGGGGTATACACCCTAAATATCAGCCTTCTATTCTGAAGTCCCCTTGCTGGTACTTTCAACTTCTCTCCTCTTTAGATACCATAGATGTGGCTCACATCTTAACCCCTTAGCTCCTACAAATTTCAATGGACACATTAAACTCTTCAAATTATTTTCAAATCACCTCTCTGACTTAAAATAAAAAGCCTTCTTCCTTGGGATAGGTGATGAGATGTATTATAGTCAAGAAACTCCCTGCATTTTTTCTCTAAGTAAAAGATTCTTCTAATATCAAATGCCTCATTCTTTTGTTCCCTCAGCATATGTGCAGTTTTTAAGAATCTCAAAACTGGTTTTATTCATAACTTTTTGTGTAAATCCTACTAAGTGGTAGATTTTAATAGCCTGGTACACAGAGCAAGTAAATGACAAGTGACACGCATACAGATCATCAGTACTGGAATCTCCGATTATATATTTGTAATAGTCTTTGCCCCAAAGCACTAAGACTATATCAAAATTACACTAAAGTAATGCTAGAAGAATTTGTATAATCTTATATTTTTTTCAGTGTGGCTCTCAGCCTACCAAACAGTCTAAAGGACGAAGGAAAATTCTGAAAGTATCACTTTTGCCATCTTTTCCTTAGTTATACATCTTAATGCATAGGAACAAAATGAAGCTCCGCATTTCATATTTATGGAAGGTTAATTTTAGGAAACTATATTTCTTGTTATTATTTCAACAAGTATATAGTCATTATTGGAAACATTCATGCTGTGTTAGGTATTATTTAGATGAAACTATTGTATATTTTTAGGTCCTGACCTAGAAGAAGTTACAGTTTAGCTGAACACCTATCCTTTTGTTGGACTGTGCACAGAGTAAAATAGATTTTGGCAAACTATTGATGAGAATAATGTTAAAGCAACAAAATAATGTTCAGTATATACTAGATGCAGCTGACTTTTCTGCTTATAAAACTATGATCATTTGATTTGAAGTCTTGAACTTTTTGTCGGTCTTTAAGAAGACTTGATAGAGACAACTTTCATATACAGTATATATCTAACACCTGAGCAATTAGAACCATCATCACCTAATCAGACTCTCTTTTCCTTTGTGCCCATTCTATATCTATATTTAGTCAGAGAGAAGGGATAAAATACTATGATAAATATGTACTATTAAAGGGATAGACACCACAGGACAGAAAGACGTATGGCAATATGAATGAGGAAGGAGACTGTGACAAAAGAAATAAATGACACATGTAGCTTAGACACCTGAGTAGGGACAGTTTCGATGAAGATGAAAGACAGGAAAATTAAAACCAGAGGAGAAAGAAAAAAAAGATTACTGGAAAATGATATAAACCTCCCAGGCATGGTTTCAAAAGCTCACTGAGATAAGAAAAGCCTTTAAAAGGATAGATCATTAATCACTGGTATTTCAATTAGCTAATATTGACTGGGATGGCAATTATGGCATTGATAAGAAAGGGCTTCTTTTCCTGGAGGTAACACAGTCTGTTTCATGACATATTCTTTCAACAATCCGCCGGATCCTAGGCTATTACACACTTAGCCCTAATGTGGCTGGGAAATGAGACAAGGATGAAAAATAAGCTAGTGGTATAGAGTCATCTAAAGTCTAGTGATCACAATGTCATCAGAATGTCAATGCCCTTGAGGTTATGTGTGAAGGTAACAGAACAAAAACACTGGGCTTGAGTAAATAAATGCAACAGCCAGTAGGAAATGTGAAATAAGCCTTTCAAAGTTGGTTAAAATAAATTTCAGTAAATTTATGAAAATACAAGTTTTTTAACAGCAAACAGTAGATTACTTTTCTTACTGTAGAAAGTCTTTTTCTTTCCCTGAAAGTAAATATAGTTGTTGTATTTCTCAGTATTTTCCCCTTGTTTTGGGAGAGGTGTGCAGCCCCAAAACTTCCTCTTAATGGGTCAGCCTATCAAAATAAGTCTGTTCCTGCCTCCAGCTGGTTGATATGTGTGCATAGCTTTAAAGGTGGCTCTTTACATATTGCCTAAAAGTACAAGACTGTCATGGCACATGTGATTAATACAAACAGGGGAGGCATATTGAGGAAAGAGACAGACCATAGCATACTGATGCTTTGCAATTTGCAAAAGCAAAAAGGTTCCAAATTATGCAAATTTTATTTCTTTATTTATTTTAAAATGTTATTGAAGTATAGTTGATTTACAGTGTTTCAAGTGTACAGGAAAGTGATTTATTTCTTTTTTAGATTTTTTTCCATCATAGGTTATTACAAGATAGTGAATATAGTTCCCTGTGCTATACAGTAGGTCCTTGTTGTTTATCTATTTTACATATAGTAGTGTGTATCTGTTAATCCCAAATTCCCAATTTATCCTCCCCACTCCCTTTGATAACTGTGAGTTTGAACCTAGAGATTATCATAATAGGAGGAGTAAGTCAGACAGAAAAATATCATATAGTATCACTTATATGTGGAATCTAAAAAAAAAGATACAAATAAACTTATTTACAAAACAAAAATAGACTCATAGACATAGAAAACAACTTATGCTAATTTTAAAGGAAAAAATAAAAATACCAAAATGAAACATAGATGTTAAGCTGTGAATATGACGTTTTTCAACCATAACTTCTGAGGAATGAACTACAAAAATAGAAATTCAGAATTTATATTTAAATGTCTGAAATTGGAGAAAATAAAAAGACTGTGTGCCGAATAATTGCATTCTAAGTTCAAAAAACAATATATGTTGTAAAAGTATTCATTCAACATTTTAAAATTTAATCTGTTATACACTTGTATACTTTAGGCTTTCTTGTGGAATAATGCTTCATTAAGCACATAACATATAATTAATCAATTTTTGCATGAACTTTACATAATTGATTCATTAAATTTATGTATTTATAAGCCAGAGCTCCAACAGGAAAGAAAGTTACACTCAAGTTATTATTTTTTTTTATAAAGAGGTATATTCTAAAGTGTGTTGGTGTAAGGAAACTACAAAGACCAGAGAGCTAGCAGCATAGTGGAGTGATCACCAGCTCTGTAGTCTAAGGGACCAAGAAAAGGAGAGATTACTAGGATCTCAAAGGAGAGTCATGTAGAGGTCACTGCCTGGGAGAAAGAAGTGACCTTTTGTGGAGAGTAGGTCAGTAGGTTACCCTTCAAGGAGGAAACTGGGAAAATAAATACCCTAATCTCTCTTTTAATTCAGATCATCTGCTTGTTTCCCAATAGTATAACCTATCAGAAAGCTAGAAGGCACAGGACCCCTGTCATTTCTACAGGTCATGCTCCTATGGCATAGAGAGGGATGGAACAGAGCAGATAGGAATCTGGAAAAGCAAATGACAGGTGTCCAGCCCAATGTACAAAATAGTACACATGAAGACATACGTAGGCATAAATTCCTATGCCTTATCTTTATTGAGAAAACTGTGAAATTTGAGTAATGATTGTTTTATACTTTTTTGGCTCAAAACTGCATCCATTTAACACACATACTTACTTACATATATCATATGACAAATTATATTTTCAGAAAATAGAGGAGAATGAAGAAAAATGTATCAAATTTCTGTTTTCTTCCAGGGACTGTAGCAAGACATAGAACCTAGTAATTAAAGAAAATAGTACAAAACCAAACTGGATTTAAATCTTTCAGTTACCAAATGTGAATTTTGTACAAATTAACTATAAACCAAGTTATAAATTTTATTTCAAAGAGTTGTTAGGAGGAGCTAATGAGAAAGTATAAAATATTTATTCCTCATTTCTTCATTGCTTATCTCAGGACTATTCATACTACCTTAGCAAGGGGAAGACTTCCCCTATGTAGGAGCAAGTGAGAATTTCCCTTTTGGGGAACACTGAATGCCCCCATGCTACTTCCAGTCTTTATCTTGAATCCTTCTTTCATTGTGTACCAACTTGGTTCACCATTGCAACAAGCCGTGAGGAAAGATATTTGGCCCCGAAATTGATGGGTGTCTGAACCTAGAATGTGTAATATAGAAATCAGTTCCCTCATTTCGGGTCTTAGTTGCAGTTTTTCATAGAAGATGAAACCTCTCACTGGGATTGTATGGTTATCTTGTACATTAGCTATCACAGCCATAAAAGCAAGTGTATGTTATCCCAGGTACTCATGAAGGGCTAGAAAAGTTCCCAGGGTCACACAGCTGGGAAGTCAAGTTTGCCTGACCAGAATACCTGGACCTCTATTTTATCATGCTATCAGATTAAAAAATAATGACATAAATAAAAAGAAAATTAAAAAGAAAAACTGGAAAACTAAAAAGAAAACTGTATGTCAATGAAATATTCTTTCTAACATAAACTTGAATTTTAATATAATCAAATCATTTTATTTTAAAATACTCATCAACATAGAATATAGAATGTTACGTATAATATTAAAGAAAATGTGTCAACTAAATGACATTTTTTTCCATTTTAATCAAAAGATACAAATAACCAAACTAATATTGCTACACTAATACTTGAATTATTAATGCTCATAGCATTAGTCTTCAAATCAAGAGTTTCAGTTGGTTCTTATATATTGATTGATTTATTTATTTTACTACTAATGAGAGCATTTGATAAAGGATGATTACTTATTCTGGCCTGGGCCTATGTCGAGTGGTGTATATGGTCAACCTTTCCTTTAACACACAGCAATAATGAAGGTTAGATATAATGCTTCTTATTGTACAGACAATGAAAACCAAATCATGAATGGACTCAGTACCTGCTCCAGGTAACCTAGCTAGAAAGAAGCAAAATCAACCCCTAAATACTGGTTTTCAGACTTTCCAGCTCTTGCATCCTCCCAACCCCCAGCATGATGCATCATCATTTTCTTCTCTTGGTTCTGTCATTGGTGCTTTAACTGTTCAGTTTTTGTGTGTGTGTCTATGTGTTTTTTAATTGATGTGTGTGTGTGTGTGTGTGTAAGGTTTATTGGTCAATTTCCCTCAGGCTGACTGTCTCCCTTATCTTAGGCAATACTGCCAAGGAACGTCTCCTTAATTGCCTAGTATTCCCTTGAAGTTGGCCTTTTAAAGACCACTGAACCTTCTGGATACTGTTGCAGAACAGGCAGAGGTGGTGACCATGGGCACCTTCTCTATCACTCTCCTCCCTTGACTTTCATCACTTTCTCGTTATTTTTTAATAGAACTAGTTACTATTAAATCTCTGATTCATTTTGGGTCACATTACTTTTTGTTATACTTGAAATGTCTTTGTCTTCTTTTCTTAATTTACTCTGTTGGGGAGGAAGTAATTTTCCTCGGCCCTTCTAGGTCCTTCAGACTGGTCTAAGAATTAAACTGACATGTGACAGATTAACCAGAGAAAATCAAATAAAAGTTTAATAACATGTATACAAAGGAGAGACCCCAGAAAACTAACTCTCCAAAATAGCCAAGTCCTTCATTTAATACTACCTTCAGCTAAAGACAAATGAGGGTATTGGGGGTAGTGATTTTGCTAGAGTAGGCAGATAGCTGGATATGAGCAGAGAAAGAGGGGAATGGGCCAAATGGCAGGAAACCATAAATCTTGTGAACAGCAGGGGTCCTTGGGCAGATAGAGAAAAGCAGGAACCTCCAGATCAATAAGAATTAACATATTTTGGGGTGACAAGTGTCCTGGAGGCAAAGAAAGGTAGGAAGAGACAAGAATCTCTGGTGTCTGAATATAACCTTTTGCTCATTATGCTCTCATGACAATAAAATTAACCTTGCAGACTAGAAGAACCCATCATGCACCAATGCCATGACACTTCCAATCAAGACTAAATAAGGACAAAAATCCCTCCTCCCCTTGGCGAGCTGGGGCTGGGGTAGAAATTAGGGAATATAATCCCAAACCCCTCCCTCTCCAATGAATATTCTGCCTATTTATTTTTACACCCTATGTAACCAGCTTGCCAAGGAAACTCAGGGCAGCTGTGCACCTGAGCCTGCCTACTCCCCCCTTGAGAGCGTCTATCACTAAATCTCACTTTATTTTCTTGACCTCCGTTTCTCACCTCTGAATTCTTTCTGCGAGGGGATGAGAACCTAATATCTGCGTCATTTTAGGACTACAAAATGGAGGGAGGCAATTCACATGGAGATGAACTATCAAAAAATGTCCGTTGAATACATGTTTGCTGGGCCATGCAGAGACAATGGGACAGAGAGAGGACTCTGATCTCTAGGCCCTGACGAGTTTCCCCCACCACACCTAGTCTTTATCTTTTGCAGATATCTCTGGTGAGAGCTCTGTTCCAGAAACAGGGTTTCTATCTAAATGATTTCAGTCAGTTAAAGGGGAAGTAACAAGGACAATGTCCTGTGTCTTCTGTTTTTCACAAAGAATCAGTGTAAATTATTCCTCATGCCAAAGAGACACATTTGGGGGTGGCAATTTTTTCTCCCCTACAGTGAGAACCATCACACTTTCTTGTCTTGTCTCTTCAAATCTTTGTAATAAATGTTTTTTCCATCTATTCTGTTAAAATAACATTAATATTTTTTGTATTATCAGACAGTTGTATAGATAATAG